AAAAAAGAAAAGGAGTGGCGTAGAGAAAAGGAGAGAGTGGAGGAAAGAGATGGAAGACATGGTCTGGAGAAGTTACCATTGTGCCAAGTGCTGTCTTGGTTCACATCTGTCAGCGTCTAGGAAGTTGGGTGGAAAAATACAGGTTGGTAACAGTCATTTAAGATCTAGGCAGGGGAAAAGATGTGGAAGGATAAGGGTAAAAGATGGAAGGAAAGATTTCAACATAGGCAGACCCTTTTAAAAAAAAAAACATCAGGAAAGTTTAACTGTAAATACTACACTCTACACTGTTGAGATTTTTAGACCATGACGTACATCAATAATGTTTATTAAATGGCAAACTAAATGAGATATTTTGGGAAAATTAACGCATAGTGAGCTCATTACGTTAAGTGTGTTAAGTGGGGTTTTTTTCTTTTTTTTTTTTTTTTCTCCTTGCGTCTGTTTAAAAAGGTGTGGGGGGGAAGGACATAAAAATAGTGTGTAGAGAGAGTGATTTTTGTTGATAGCTTCCTCACAGGCCAAAGGAGGAGAAAGAAGTCTCAGAAGTAGGGGCCTGTGCTAATTGTGCATTCTACCAAATAAGTACTCAATAACACAAATCACAGAAAAAAAGGGTAGAGAAAATACAGTGCTTATCTGGGAAGGTATTCAACTTTTAATATAGGGGAGGGAAAGGCTGCAGTGGGAAAGAATTTCTCAGAACTCTGTCCCTCATATAAATGGCTTAAAAAAATTGTTTTTGATATATGTAAAATAAATTGTGCTCTTTTTTTAATATAAGATTGTGCTGTTTGCAAATTATGTGCTGTGAGATGCAGCATGCAGAAACGTACAGGCCTCTAAGTACTCAAAAAGAGGTTTGGAGATGCTGGAACTTGTGTCGAACATACTTATAGTTTATTTTTAATATGTGTCCCTGACTTATCAAAAGCATTTTTCATGGCCTAAATTAGAGTGTAATAGGAGTTTTAAAAATGCTTCTCAGACTAAGAGTTACAAAGGTATGTGAGGGACAGGTAATGTGAAAGATTGGAAATGGGCCTGAACATGTAATAATTCGAATCTATTCTCTGTTATATTTTAGGGAATGTGACATAGACCCTGTTTTGGACTGGAAGACATCTGTCCAAGGAAAATAAACATAAGCTCTCAGGTAAGGTGTTGTTACAGATGAGTTTTGAAATAGAGAAAAAATAACATTTCTTTGTGCTTTAAATAATACCTGACCCCTTGGCCTTTTTGGTTTTGTAGTTTGCTGGTGATATTTCACAGAAACCCAAATATTTTTGTTTAATTTTGGAAGARGTGAGGAGGCAAAATATTGTGAGGGAGAGAAGTTAATGTGAAGTGCTTCTGAAGTCTAGTTAGTTGTGCATGAACAGCGAGAAGGGCAGCGTTGTACTAGATCTTTCCTATTAAAAATGTAGCTGATATGATATTGTAGGTGGATATGATATTATAGGTGATAGAAAGGTGGATATATCTGTTAGACGAGGGGTGTGTTTCGGTTCGCCTTTTATTAGAATACTGGACAAATTTCAGGTGGATGCTGTAATCTGTGTTTGGTCAAAGAGAGGGCTAAAAAAAATTGTTTTGTCTAAATGTATGTTACTTTCTTGTATTGACAAATACATTCAATGTGTTGACAATTAAAAATAGTCTATTTTGATTAACCTGAAGGAAAGACACTTCTTTTCGAAGCAAGCTGGTTAATTAAATAAAAGTCAGGAAATGGCATAAAYCTATGGATAGCATGCTTTTTCAGAAAAGGCAATTCTTGAGGTTGAATTAGTAAGAGAAATTTACTGATCAGGGCAGAGCCTGTATTTGTAAGATATTTTTAATTTTGTGGAAGCCTATTATACACCAATAGAGAGAGGAGCTGTGTTAGTGTTGGACGTGCTATTGTATTATGGCTTATCACTTGTTCTTTCTGTTTTGGATTGTTTATTCATCTCTGATAATTTAGACACAAGAGAAATGTAAATTCCATTTACCCAAATTGGATGTTTGTAGCATTTAAAAAAGAGAGAGATGAAAACTGGTTAGAAATCTYCAAAATCTATAATGCTATTCTGTAGCCTTTAAAAGGCAAAAAAGCAAAATAATAATAGTACCACTGGCAAAATAATATACAATTTCTAAAAGTAATATAAATTGCTGTTAGAGGAGTTTAGAAATAAAAAATACGTTAAGATAGGTAGTTAAGATTTTGCAGTATTTTTCTTTCCCCAGTCTCCCTCTCTCTTTGCAAGGAAAATTGAAAGATTTCTTTTGAATATAAAATGGTTAAATAAATACAATTTGAGTGAAATGTTTCRCTTGGTATTTGGTGAAATTTCTTTTTCTTATCGGTATTTAGATTTTTAAGTATAAGTACTGTGAAATAGTTCAAATCTGAAAGTTTGCTGGGAGAAAATGTTTCAGCATCTTTCTTCTTACCTGAGGAATCCATTTTAGAAGTCCATTTTTCCTGTTTGCAAAATACATTTTTATTAGATCTATGTATTTGGGTTAAGACTTACTTAAAATTACTTAATTAGGTTATACTGAAATTCTAAGTGATTTAAAAAGAAGGATTATGGTAATATGACAAAACATAACACTATTTTCATTGAAATCCTGAAATAAAGCCCTTTTAACATGCCAATTTTTAAAATCTATAAATTTAGGGTGTTAAAATAGTACAAAATATAAAAAGGCCAAACTTATAATGGAATGTATAATCCTGTACCAGCGAGCAGGGATTTCGTAGGTGCGTCTGAAATATGGGAGGAGGTCATTTACACCTTCAGTTTGTTTCTGAGCCTTGTTCTTGCACTATTGATCTTTTTAAAGCCTTACTACGTATATGTAAAATCCTTTAAAAATGCTTGCGGCTGGTTAGTAAGGAGAAAATGTTGCGAAAGAGGCAACAGTGTAGGTGCGCTGAGCTAGATGGGATTTGATGGTGTTTTCCAAGGAAAATTTGGAAAATATGCCAAAGTAAAAATTGTTACGGTAAAGAATAAATTCTAAATAATTGTGTTTGTGCAATTTGGGCTGGCGTGATTGTGAATCTTCTTAAAAAATCTCTTGTAAATGTCTGGAAAACAGTACAACATAAAAAAGGCTTTTACAATTGTGTTTGCTCTTTATAAAACTGTGGACTGATAGCCTGATTTAAGAGATTAGATATTTTAAAAACAAGCTTTAAAAAATGAGCTATATAGTGCATTTATTTTTGAGAAGTTTGCTTAAAAAAAAAAAGGAGAATGTATATGTGTTTCTTTGCTCTGCACTGCTTATGGTCTAAAATAAATAATAAACTTGTGGTGATTTATTTGGTTGTGAAGAAGCGCTCGGGTGAAAAATCTGGCAGCCAGTTTGTTTTAGTTAGTGTTTTAATTTTGAGGAAATAGCAGAATGTTTCTGGGCATTTGCACTTGTTCCAGGGGCTGGAGCATGAACCGGGTTTCTGTGCAGCCTGTCAGGCAGTTGCACGTCTGAGCATGCTGCAGTTGGTAGCACTGCAAATGAGGACCGTTTGGCTTGGGTTTGCTGCACGCTGCTTGCGGAAAAGAAATGGGGGGGGGTGGTAAAAAAATGCTGTAAATGAAATAAATGCCCAGGACGGGAACTTTGTGTGTGTGCACGCGTGGGGGGTGCTGAGCGCACACGCAGCTACCGAGGGAGCTGGGATAAAATCCCAGGGATTTCACTCGGAGGCTCCTCTCCTGAGCAAACTTGTAGTATCTTCTCTGTCCAATTAGTTACAGGATGGGGCTGTAAAGTAACTTATTTGTTTATTTTTTGGGGTTTTTTTTTTTTTTCCTCTTGTCCTTCTGGTGTGGGCAGCTGGTTATCTGCCTGCACAGCAGTTGCCACTTATTTTAGGGCAGACTTTGGGAGACAAAAAAAGGAAACGTTGCATGGTTTAGTTCTATTTACAGTGGGCACTTTTATGTAAGGAGTTTATGGAGAAGGAAGCGGCGGTGGGGGAGCAGGAAAGCCCATGATGGCAACGAGGGACTTTTCCTGCTACTTTTGCTGCAGGAGAGCCCACTGCTTCCGTGCAACTTTGCCTCGGAGTTTCGGTGCCGCGAGGCTGTTTTTTTGGGCTTTGTTTACTTGTCAGAGTCTGCCTCCTTATTTTGTTTATTTATTTTTATTTAACTTAATTGATTACTCTTGTTTTGCTGGGAGGGAAGGGCGGCCGCGGGGCCGGGGCGGCTGCGCCCGCCGGCGGGCCGGGCCCTTGG